AGGTCTCCCATTCCCCTCCCTCGCACCTACATGGCAACACCAGGAGGCCAGTGCCTGCCCTTGCCCCACCCCAGCTTCCCATCCAAACAGAAGAGGGAGCCCCTTCCCCCAAACTCAGCTCCTGAGGTCTCACACATGTAGCTCTCGGAGAAGCAGAGCCGGGTCCCATTCATTGGCTGTCCTCCTGACACACGCAGGTCTCTGTCTGAGTCGCAGTTTCCTCCCATTTTTCATCCTGCTCACACGGCCCCACCCAGACCTCACCCTGACCCTCAGAGTCCACTCCAGCTGCCTGGCCACCTGGTATCCTCCCCTCTTTTCTCCTGCCTCCCATCAGAACTGCCAAGGAAAGTTGATGCTTCAAAGAATCTGCCAGATGAAGCCCCTGGTTCCGTTTTTACAATGCAGTTGAGGAGGAGTCTAGCTTTGTGACTTAACACTGCACAGTGCTGGAGAACTTAATGCACATGCAGATGGTCCTGAGAGGCCAAAGGGCCCTGAGATTCGCTGCAAGGTAATTTTCAGGCACTCCGAAGTCTTAGAAAGAAAGGAAAGTATGTTTCATTTGTAAGGGTCACTTTTAAAAGGTTCACAGGAATTCAACCACCCTCAGGCCGTGGCAGGGTGCTTAGTGACGTCTGAGGGACTCCCCGAGTTCATCAGACCGGGGGCAGTGGACTGCTTCACTGGATTCACAAACATAATGTGATCTTCACACTCAACTTACAGTAAGCAGGTTTTGAAGGTGGTGACTTTAATAGACTCTAAGTGAAAACTTAAATCCCAGCCCTGAATACTCTTCTCTGTGAGTAGAAGCCCCACGGGCAAAACAGAATGCCGAAGGAAGGAAGCCCCCAAACCCCAAATATACACCCAAGAAGTGCCAGTCCAGCACAGCCTTGGACCCTCACCCCATGGGGCCCACGGACCTTGCTGGCTGACACTTGCTTCATCCACTCGATAGGCTCCTTGGGAATTTGCTAAAACCTGGGAGAAGTCACCACAATCTTGTGTCAGGGTGGGCAGCCCCTCAAGCTAGCCATGGTGACACTGAGGGCCTTGAGCATCAGGTGAAATGGGTGAGGCTGGATGGTGGGACATGGACGGCGTGACCTGGTGGCTCAGGGTCCACACTCCCTGCCGGCCTTACATGCAGCTGGAAGGCAGAGGAGGCAGCACCAGGACCCGTTGCAGCCAGGAGGGCTGGGTTCCTGTGACTCTAGGTAGAGGCTATCTTTGCTGATCCTTCCTTCCTCCTGCCAGGGTTGGGTCCCTCAATAAGCAGAGCCCTCCTCCCTACTCTCCTTCAGGGATCCTCCTCCTCCCTCCTCCCTCCTCTCCTCCAGGGCTCCTCCTCCTCCCTCTTCCCTACTCTCCTCTAAGGCTCCTCCTCCCTCCTCTCCTCTCCTCTAAAGCTCCTCCTCCTTCCTCCTCCCTCCTCTCCTCCAGGGCTCCTCCTCCTCCCTCCTCTCCTCTAAGGCTCCTCCTCCTCCCTCCTCCCTCCTTTCCTTTAGAACTCCTCCCTCCTCTCCTCTAGGGCTCTTTCTCCACCCTCCTACCTCCTCCCTCCTCTCCTCCAGGGCTCCTCCTCCTCCTCCTTCCTCCTCCCTCCTCTCCTTGAGGGCTCCTCCTCCTCCCTCCTCTCCTTTAGGGCTCCCCCTCCACCCTCCTCCCAGGTCTTCTATTCTGTCCCACTGGAGTTTTGGACTTGATGGGCCATGGCTCTTCAGGGTTGGGAATAAGAGGCTGTTGGTCTTTTGCCCTTATTCTTCTCTCAAATGCATGCTGACCATTGGGCAGCCTTTACCTTCCACGTGAATTCCAGGATCAGCCTGTCAGTGTCTGTAAGAAGGACTGCTGGGGTTTGGATCAGGGCTGTGTTGGCTTCATGGATGGCTTTGGGGAAATGCGACATTTTAACATCATGAATCCTGCAGCCCATGAACATGGTATATCTATTTAGTCCTTTGAAAGTTCTCCCAGCAATGTTTTCCTGTTTTCATTGTACAGATATTCCACATTTTGGGGACTAGATTTATTCCATGTGGCTCTAGTTTTGAATCCTACCACAAAGGGCATTTTTAAGAAGTCCAGTTCCTGTGCAGCCAACACCTGGAGAGATAGCTGACTCCACACTGGACCACACTTCTGCCCCATCTTTCATCTGCCTGACCTTCCTCCTGCTCTCCACGTTGGAAAGTCAGGCTCTTCATGCCGTTGGCCTCTGCTCTTTCCTGTTGGCTAGGAGAGGTGACCTTCATGTGCCCTGTATGTGGCCATGGAAGATTTTCAGGGAGGCAGCTTCCACCCCAATCCTCTGTACTCAGTGGGCTCCCTATTGGCCTCCTCAACTCTGCTTACCGTCCACTTTCTACACAGTGGCCCAGGCATCCCTTTTAACTAACCCTCAGGTCAGTCCCTGGCTTGCAACCCTCCAGGTCTCCCCACTGCGATTAGAATGGAGTCCAAGTCACGCCTGGGCTGCCCACTGAGGAGGATCCAGCCCCGCCCACGTCTTTGCTCTTCTCCTTCCTTTTCCTCATCCTGCCTTGCTGGTCCTATTTCTTGGATACCAGGGGAAGACCACCCATGACCACTCTGCCCTCAATAGGAGCTCCCCTCAACCCCAGGCCCCACAGCCTCTGGACCTCTGCTCTCAGTCAGCAGAGGGGGGGTGCTTCTGGGCTGAAGGTCAGCAGGTGCATGGGGAGCTGACTACAGGCTCAAGGTCAGAAGGCTGAAGGCCAGCAGGCACATGGGAGCTGCTGCTGCAGAACAAACAGCCCCACTCGCCACACAAAATGACTACTTGCACCAGGATCCTGGGTTCCGTGGTGACATGTGGGAAAAGGGCACAGTGGGGGCACCTCTTCTTGCTCCACAATGCTTGGCCTGCGGGAGGACAGGGGCTGGAATCTGGAAGGTGCTTCCATCCTTTGGCTGGCTGGGGCCTTGGGACTGGAGAGCCCATGTCACTCCCTGTTCTCTACAGACAGCATGGGCTCCAGGCCTTGTGTCCACTGTACTTGGAAGCTGACCAGACCTGACCTCTGGAGGGAGGACTGTCCGTGCCACAGGACATATGTGAATGACAGCTGCCCTGGGAAGTGCCATCTGCTGTGACTTGCAGTTTAAAACCCGACGGTCTCCATGGCTGGTGCATTCCCTGGAGGAGCCAGAAGGAGCAGCCGGCTCCGGGTCAGTGACCCTGGTATAGGTTAGCAAGCTCCAGCTCATGGTGCACCAGGGCCCTGAGGCCCAGGGGATCAGCTCCCCTCCCGTCTGTCCATGCATCCACTCAGCCTGGCAGGGGGAGCTTACTTCTCTGCCCCCCTTTCCTCTTGTGCTGGTGGGTGGTGTTTGCAGGCCCGGCCACTGAATCTGTTCAGCCTCCCTTTGTTATAGACCCTTCTCCACACATTCCACGGTGCTACCCATGTCAGAGGCTCCAGCCACAGTGGGGGGACTCAGGGACTGCTCTCTGTGGCACTGGAGGCCTCTCTCTCTGCCTCTCTCTCAGGCTCAGCGAGCTGGGACAGGGCTGTCCCCATGACTCAGGCGCTCCAGTCTCTGGGCTGGGGAGAGGCCAGCAACGTCCATCATCCTGGCTGCCCTGCTCCTGCTGGAGGGACTGTGGTGTGGCCCTGGGTCCTCGGGGAAGGTCTGAGCTCCAGCATCCCCAGGCCCAGGCCAGCCAAGGACCAGACTCACAGGGCTTCTCCGGGGACATCCTTGGCACTAGCCGCAGCTGGCACACCTTCCCTGGGCAGAGCCTGGAGGCCCTGGGGCATTCCACAGAGACTTGTGGCAGATTCTGGCCCATCCTCCTCGGTGTCCCTCTAGGGTGCTGCTGCTCCCCGCTCCCATCTAGGGAACCGCAGGTGGTCTCGAGGTTCAGGACCTCCAGGGCTGGGGGTCTTGTGCACACCCCCTCCTGGTCTCCCCATTTCAGAACTGCTCAGGTCCAGCTCAGAGCAGCTGCCTTGGACGCCCTTCCCCTGGCAAATGCCACTGGCCTCCTGCCCAGGAATGCAAGGCTTCAGGATCTGTCCTCTGCCTCCTCCCTGAGGCCAGCCTCCCTCCCTGATTCTTCTCTCTGCTGCCCTCGGGCCCCAGGCCTATCTCCCCCTCCCCCCCCCAGGGTCCCTTCCTGGAGTTCCTCAGGCCCATCCTCTGGAGCAGAGGTCAGGAGCCTCTCAGTCAGACCCACGGCCTCCACACCAGCCTGTGCCTCCCTAGGTCTCAGTGCCTGCCACTCCCTCTGCAGCTCACCAGCTGCCTCTGAGCCAGGCCTCCCCTGACCCCTGCCCCTCGTTTCCTCTGCCTCCCCCCTGGCCGCACAGCCTTCCTCCTTATCCCCTGGAAGTCCAGCAGGGAAAGCAGGTCCCACCCTCTGTTCTCTGTTCCCTGCTGTGGGCCCAGGACAGGTGCCTGCCCAGCCACAGGGCAGGCTCCAAGTGGGGCTGCACCCACACCCAGGTCCTCAGGGGTTGAGCAACTGGACCCTGGAAGTCGACCTGAGAAACCTCAGATACCTCGCTGGACCCCGGCCCAGGCCCCGCCCCTGCCCTACCCAGGCCCCGCCCCCTGCTCCGCCCCCGCCCTACCCAGGCCCCGCCCCGCCCTCGCCCAGCCCTGCCCGAGCAGCCAGCGGCTCCCCGAGGCTGCACCACGAGAGGCTTCAGGCAAGTCTTCCTTCCGCTCCTGGTCTCCGCCCCCAGAGGCCGGCACAGGGCTGATTGAGGACGGGTTTCCTTGCGGCTGCGCCTGGCTCTGAGCCGGGCCAGCTCTTCACCACCCTCCTCAATTCTCGGCCAAGGCTCTGCGAACAGCCTGCGAACCAGATCCTCGGCATCGTCTTCTGCTACCGTGCGCACAGGCCAAACCCTGGCTCTTTCTAGAAGGACTCGCAGTCGGACACCCTGGCCGCCACTGAGTCCCCGTCCCCCACCAGGCCGCAGGCCATGCCTCGCGAAGCCCCGCGCCCGACGCCCACTCACCCTCATCCCCAGCTCGATGTTCTCCGCACCGTACACCTCCATGCCCGGGTCCAGCAGGCCGATGTCCCCGAAGTACTCGCGGTCCACCACGAAGGAGCAGCCGATCATGGCGGGGGTCCTGCAGATGCAATCAGCCATGAGCAGGCCCCTGGCTGGGCCAGCAGCCCCAGAGCCTGCCTTGGCCGCCTTTCATAGGGCTCTTGCACCCTGAGGCGGGAGGTGGGAGGGTGACTCCTTGCATCCCCCAGAGCCAGCGGCGCACCCAGCACAGAGCAGAGCGTAAATGTCCCTGCTGTAACTTCAACAGGTGAAAAGACCAGAGTCAGGGGATTGAAGAATACTCCACGTCCCCAGTGAGTTGTGCTGTCATCTTGAACACCCAGAGCAAGTCGCCCCACCTGCTGTGGTGGCTCATGTTATCTGAGTGTAGGTATTTGGCACTGCAGCGGGACGTTGTGTCCTCTGGGCACTGCTCAACTTCATGGACCCTGGCTGATATCAGACTCTGAGCGACACCCCTTGGAGTTGTGGAGGGGACACAGCTCTAGGCAACAGACTCACTGACCACTGCTGTTATTTCTGTAATAATTCATCTTACATCCATATATTTACATCCATATGTTTACATCCATATATTTTAGAAGTGGCAGCGACCTAGCCTGGGGCCACGTCGGTGGATGTGCTGCTAGAAGGGCAGCAGTGACCCCTGTGCCCGGTTCCCGATGCTGGGGTGTCCAAGGCTGCTCCTCAGGACACTGAAGCCCAGGCTGCTGGAGCCTCCCTGTGCCTCCGGAGGCACGGAGTCTGTCCCACAGAGCAGTGACCATTGGCCTTGGTCAGAACCTAGGAGAAGTGACTCTTCTCATCCGCTGGGAAGTCGGAGCTGACGTCTGTATGGGCTGCTGTCTGAGGCAGCAGGACATTTCACAGCGCCTGTCTTTTTACTTGGGCATGGCCCAGGAGCAGGGCCCATCCTCCGCCAGTGCCCGCAGTCCCAGGATGGTGGCTAATGGTTGCGGTGCAGCGTCCCAGCCTCTTCTGGAGGCAGTGATTTTATTCCTGCTCAGAGTTGCAGAGTTAACTGAGCTCACCAGGCAGCAGGGGCCGAAGCAGCCGGCACCGGGTTTATGTGTATGAGAAATTCTCACTGTGATTACAGAAAACAGCAGAGCTGACTCTGTGAGGGGTTCTAAGGTTGGGGGTCCCCAGGTAGGGGGTCCCTGGTCTTTACAGGACACCCTCTCCTCTAGGCCGCTCCATGGCATTTAGGGAGACGGCAGGACACAGCTGTGGCCCCCGGGTCCTGGCTGGTTCAGCTGCTTGCCTGACCCTCGGCCCCCGGCCTCCAGCTACTGTCCTTTGACAAGCCTCCAGGCTCAGCCAGACCCCTGTTGTTTCAATGTTGAATGTAGAATCAACCCAGCTGCCCATCGACGGGTGATGGATGAACCAGCAGTGCTTTGTCCATACAATGGAGTATAAAAAATGGGCCTTCCCACCAAGAATCAGGCAAAGCCAAGGAGCCACCAGTACAGAAACAGAGTTTGAGTGGCCACCTTGATTTCCTGGATCAAGCCGTGTCTGAGTGCCACTTGAATCCCTCATTTTGAGCAGTTGGTTTGAATCCGGTGTCTGCCTCACCTTTGCTGGCCATGGGGGATGCAGAGCTGGACATCAGTGTTAACTTCTCCCTGGTGCCATGTCTTAGGCCTCACCTGCAGTTCCTGGGCATGGGGCTAGTTTGTCTTCTCTGCCCTCCTGCAGGCCTCCTGAGCACACCTGTGTACAACTACAGGGGACCTGCCAGATGTCAGCCGGTGCCCAGTATTGGGTACGGCCAGATGGGCTCACTTTCTGCCTCATCTTGTGCCCTCTGACCTGCCAGAGGCTGAGCACTTGGCGCTTTTGGGGAGGCGAGGTCTTCTGCCCACTCAGCCACGCAGGCCACGGTGCCAGGTGGGCACAAGTGAGACTCACGGTGGAGGTGGAGCTGCTGGTCTGGGAGGAGGGCCCTTGGGATGCTGTCAGGGGACTGCAGGTTTGCAGCTTGAGCCCAGGGGGCCTGGTCACACGCACCAGCGGGAAGCTATGTCCACTGCAGGGTGCGGTTGTGGCCAGCAGAGCAGAGGCCCTGGTCTGCATCTTCCAGCTCGGGGGCCCCAGCCATCAACCCAACGCAGTGTGACGTCAGCGGCATGGGCAGGCTGTGTGCACAGGTGTGTTTGTGCACTCGGGGCCACACACAGGGAGCAGTGGGAGCCACCCCTTCGCGCCCTTCGACATGACCTGGTTCCTGACCTGTGAATTCTGCAGCTGCTGCCCTTAGAGGGGTGAAGGAAGAGCTGGGGTCACAATAGTTAAGCCAGGGGGCAAGAGGCCAGCAGATGGACGGGTGCTGGGCGGGAGCTGGGGTTGGGACGGGCTGGGGCTGACCCTGGACACCATGTTGCAGGCCTCTGTCCAGGGAGAATCCATGTGACAGTTTCTGTGTGTCTCCCGGGTAGGGCTGGCCTTGGCCTCTGGGGTTTGCTCCTCCAGCCTTGAGCTCCTGCCCCAAGAGCCCATCCCTGCAGTCACTTGGGGGCCCACTTCATCTCCTGAGGGACAGGTGCTGGCTAGACACAGAGGCAAGTCGGGGTCCTGACCCCAAAGGCCACCTCAGACTGGAGCTGGAGGGAGGGGCTGGGGTCCCGACGCCTTGGGGAACTGTCCTGGGGTCTCAGGTTTGCAGTTGTGCCACAGGCCAGCCTGGGCCCTGAGCGATGCTTCCTGCTTCATGCTCCATGGACAGCCCAGCAGGGCCTGAACTCGGCCGGCCAGCATCTGCATCGTGAGGCAGCCACCCCAGGAGCAAGCCCAGGCAGGCCCACCCTCCACCCAGGACTCCCGGGCGAGCCCTGCTCCTCCCCACGGGAAGGGAAGGCTGGCCCTCCTGCCTGTGCTCAGGGGTGCATAGCCCCCAAGGCCAAGCCTGGGTTCCTCCTGTTTCTCCTTGTGCACGGCGCAGGGAGGCAGCCCATAGATCTTCAGTGTCGCTTCTGCTGGCCTTCAGGGACAGTGGGAACTTAGCCGTCCTCATAGGCTCATCCAGCACTGGCCTGGGAGCAGGTCCACCTGGCTGGTTCCTCGCAGCCCTTAGGGGAGGCATCCTGGGGGGGTGCCAAAGGGTCTTTCTGGGTAACTGGGCCCATGGTCATGTTGAAGGATGAACCAGGCCAGAGATGCTGGGGATGGCCATTCCCAGAGCACCAGAGCCACGTGGGTGACCGGAGCTCTTTCCTCTTGAGGCTGTGACTTGCTTCTGGCCGAGGCTGCTTGGCCGCCCCGGCTAGGCCTGCAGGCCCCACTCCTGATGGAGACCCGAGCCTTCCCCAAGTGAGGCTCGTGGCATATCCCTCCCTGGGCCTGGCCTGGCCCACTCCTCTCTCCACCACCTCTCCATGTCGTCCACCCTCAGGAGACACCAGGTGTGCATCAGAGTCAATAGACACCCTGTGAAGTGTCAAGGGTCGGTGCAGGTGACCAGGGCCACCGGAGCCTCGGTGGGATGGACAGAGCTGCGGAAGTCCCAGCTCTAAGTGAGGCCGGTATGGCTCTGGTCCGGCATGTCCACCAGCAAGGTCCAGGGTCCTGGGGATCCTCGCTCTCCCCTGTGCTGCACAGACCCCCAGGACAGCTCTTGGGAGAACCCAGAGGGTTCCAGCACAGGGGGGCTGCTGGATGGTCCCTGTCAGTGGGCAATGGACAGTGTTTCCAGCATGAAGCCAGTGATGTCTGACCGGGCCCACCTTGTCATGGCCCTTGGGATCTCTTCCACTGAGGCCCTCATGAATGATCAGCTGTGGCCGTCCCTGAACAAGCTCCTTGGGAGCTGTTTTCTCTGGACAGGGCAGACCGGCTCCCCACAGGAGTGTGTGGCTCTGTTGAGATGCCGCTGCCCTCCCAGTGCTGCCCAGAGGCCGAGCCTCGCGGGCCCTGGCCCTCAGCACAGCTGGGCAGGTAGTGGCTCTGGGCAGGGCACAGCTTGCCTTCCCAGGACTGCTGTGTCAGTGTCCTTCCGGGAGCCATGGCAGAGAGCCCACCTTCTTGGGGCCAGGTTTCCCTCTTCTCTGGTTGGCTGCATCCTTGGGGTTTAAGGGCTCCCCAGGTGACGCAAATGAGACCAGTTTGGGACCTGCTGCTGCCCAGGACTGGGAGTTGGGTCCCCTGCATTAAACTGGTTTATAAAATTGAACACAAGATGTTTGTCTTGCTGCTAAGGAGGATTGTCAAGTGTGTCTTGGAAGAGAAAAAGCACCCTCAAGCTGCCACCCTGCTCCAGGGAGTCCCCAGGGTCCCCAGGTGCATTTATGCTGGGATCAAGCTCTGCCATGAGCTGCCCCGGCTAGCAGCTGCCCCTGTGGCTCTCCCGGAGGACCAGCTCCCAAGGGTGGAGCCGTGGGGGGCCCTGGGCACTTGCTCCAGCCCCGGAGCCTCCTTAGTCCTGCTCTTTGGAGCACCTTCCTCCACAGTGGAAGTGGTTTTCCCCTCGTTGGGACATGAAGTGTGGCTCAGCCTGGTTGGATCATCTCCCAACGCCCGACCCCCTGAGCATCGGGGTGCCCTTTGGCAGCTCTTGGTTGATGGAGGGTGGATGCCCTCCAGGCCTGAGGAGACTGGCTTGGGCTTCCCATCATCTGCAGGCCAGAATATCCCCATCAGACAGCCCCTGCAAGACCCTCCTATGTGAGGACGGTGTCAGGTGCCACTCATGGCAAAGTGGCCTGGGTCAGCAGGGACAGGGGAGGTAGGGGTCCTGGCCACCCCCTGAGATCCTAGCCCCAGGGGAGGCCTGGCAAGGTGAGCAGAGACTGACTGGGCGCAGTGGGGTCCACAGGTCCACAGGCTACAGGTGAGCACGGGCACCCTGATGGGTCCCCAGGAGGAGGAGGTGGGATGCACCACAGAGGGACAGGTCAGGAGGAGCGTGCCTTCTCCCCAGCAGCTGCTGTAACTGACCTGGTACAGGGAAGGGCTGGGTGTGTGCAACCCGTCCAGCTCCCTCTGCCCTGGGGGCCCGCCTGTCTGTGAGGTCCAGTCTGAAGGCCCATGTCTACACCAGACAGAGCCACAGCTTGGCAGGACCAGCCAGGGTGGGGGCTGCAGAAGCCACCTGGACCCCAAAACCCCTGTGGACAGCTGCCTCTCCATAGGGCCTAGGGGAGGCCTAGAGCAGCCTGACCCTGCCTCTGGGGAATGCTGGGTCGTGCACGCGGGTAGGGCTACAGTCCCGCTGCAGTCCAAGGAACCATGCAGATGAAACAGGTGTCCTGCAGGGCCATCTGCGGGGTCCCATTAAACAGTGGTCTGTCTTCAGCACACATCACCAACGCCCATGCCCACTGCTTCCTGTACTGCCCCGGGCCCTCGGTGGCCCTCCTCCTCCTCCCTCTGCCCCTCCCTCCTCCTCCCTCCATCTCCCTTCTCCTCCTCCCTCCATCTCCCTTCTCCTCCTCCCTCCATCTCCCTCTTCCTCCTCCCTCCATCTCCCTCCTCCTCTTCCCTCCATCTCCCTCCTCCTCCTCCCTCTGCCCCTCCCTCCATCTCCCCTTCCTCCTCCTTCTTCCTCTGCTCCTCCCTCCTCCTCCTCCCTCTGCCCCTCCCTCCTCCTCTCTCTGTCCCTCCCTCCTCCTCCCTCCATCTCCCCTCCCTCCTCCTCCCCTCGGTTCCCCTCCCTCCCTGCTCCCTTCCTGCCCCACCTGGCTCTGCCCTGGCTCCTTAGGGTGGGTCTCCCCGCTGCTCACCTGATGGGTGCCGCCTCATCCCCACGGTCCAGCCAGTCCTGGGGTGGGATGATGTACATGCACCAGAGCCCCCAGTTGTAGCCGTGGGCGGCGCTGGCGTACTGCTGCACCTCGAAGGTGCTGTACTTGATGTTGTCGATGGCCGGCAGGACGATGCGCCTCCGGTCCTCCCGGATGCGCAGGAGGGCAGGCTCGGCCCTGTGGGGGATGAGCCTGTGAGCCCTGGCCTGTCCTCGCCCCACCCATCGTCTTCCTGGGGCGACTCTAAATGGCTGTCCTGTCATCAGAGTGCTGTGGGCTCAGCCCCTCAACCTGGCCCACTCTTGCCTGCTCCCTGCACCTGTGGAAGGACCCCCTTTGCACCGAGGCCCCGTACCTGCCATGCCTGCCCTAGACCCTGGACACACTCCTGATCCATGCCTCTTGCCACTCACTGAAGGGCCCCGAGCAGTGTGCAGTGCCCCACCTGCACGACAGGCCCTGTGGAGTGGGGAGGGGACGTCAGTGTCTTAGAAGGTGAGGGGCTTGGTGGAGTAGCAGGGGGGGGGGCAACTGGGAGCCATGGTTTTGAGTGGGTGTTCGGTGTGGGTGCTCTGGGCCACGATGGAGGAGTGGGAGTTGAGGGAGCGCCTCAGGGGCCCTGGCACCTACCTGCTGTGGCGGGGAGCCGGCCCAGGCTGGGCAGGAGAGGGCCAGCGGCAGGTGGTGAGGGCAGAGAGGAAAGGGCGGGAGGACACAGGCTGTCCAGCTGCTCACGGCCAACAGCTCCAGGGCAGGGGCAGCCTTCCCTGGGCCTCGCCGCCTGCCCACGAGGCCTGTGTCTGAGATCCCACTGTGCGGGAGCCACTGGCAGAGCAGCCTGGGGCACCCGTCAGCAGCCCCTGCCTGCTGAGCTGGGAGCTGCCCCTGGAGCTGGCCTGACTCGCTGCTGGTGGAGGCTGATGAGCTGCTGGCAGTTTTGGCAGTGGCTACTGGGGAGGGGGGTACTTGGCAGGTGGTCACTGCAGGTCAGCAGTGGGAACTGGATCCCAGGTAAAGTGCCTGTTGGTGGGCTTCCTACAGGTGTGGGTGGATGCCCCTCATCATCCACACCAACATTTGAGGTCGTCACCACCTGCCCCTCCACCCCAGTGTGGGTCACTCAAGGGACCAGGGACACCATGCTGGGCTTCTCCAAGGTTCTGGGCAGGGCAAGCGAGCAGCTCCTGTCCCCACCAGTGCCCTGCCCACAGACCTGCACTCCTGCTGCTCTCAGGGGGATGGGACAGGACAGGCCCTGCCTCTCTGGTCCCAGGAGCCCTGGCCTGCGGGTGGGCGGAGGCCCCTAAAGCCGTCCTGACTCCCGCTAGCCAGCCACCTGACGTCCCCTCCAGCCCCCTCCTGCTCGCTCACAGAAACTGCTGCATGAGAAGCAGCTTGGGCCCTTTGACCTGAGATCTCCCATGAGGATGGGAACTTGCCCCCTCCTGTGCAGAGTGGCCAGGCCTCTAGGGCTCTCTGAGCACCTCTGGTGACTGTCCTGGGCCTGTGGACTACACGGCCATGCAGCAGCCTGGCCCTGGTCTTGGGTGTGCCTGTTCCTTATCTGAAGACCCCACGGGGATGCATACCATGTCCCCCAGCCCACAGAGTGACCAGTAGGCTCTTACCAGCCAGTGTTGAACTCCACGTGGGCATCGAAGAAGCCGACCACAGGGGCCGTGGCCACCTTCCAGCCCTGCAGCCGTGCGCGGATCAGGCCTTCCCGCCGGCTGTTGCGAACGACCTTCACCAGGCCAGGGTACCTCCGGTGGACGTACTGGTCCAGGTTGAACTTGAGCTCCACTGTGGGAGAGAGATGCCTCAGAGCACTGCTCAGAAGGGCCAGGCCACCAGCCCACGGCTTGGCCCAACTGACGTCTCATGGATGTTCTCTGAAGCCCCCAGGGGCTGGGGACCCCCAAGGAGCAGAACGGGTTGGTTCCAGGGAGAGCCGTGACTGAGAATCAAGGGCAGCCCAGAGGGAGGCAAGCTGGGGGTGGAAAGCAGACTCAACTGTTGAGCCGTAAGAAAGACCCGAGGGCTACAGGTGAGTGGACAGCAATGGCCCAGCCACACAGGAGCACTACACAGCTGTGAAGAGGGAGGAATGGGCCCAGTGCAGCCTGGACCAGCCCCAGCACAGTGTGCCTTAATATAAGCTGACCACTGGAGGACACATCCAGCATGAGTCCACTTACAGGAGGCCCAAGAGAAGCAAGTCCTAGAGGGACAGCAGGACAGGATAGCAGGACGGGACAGCAGGGGCTGGGGGTGGCGGGGCTGCAGTTTAGGAAGATGGAGAGTTCCCAAGGGGGGTGGCCATGGCTGCCCCAGCAGCACCCTCAAGATGGCCGGCTCTACATGCATTCTGCCACAGTTCATAAAAAAGGCACGAAGCACCACACGATGAGCTGGAGTGGCCCTGATTCCTGTGTCCTCGTGAGAAGAAGGGACACAGACCAGGGGAGCAGCAGATGAGTGTGGCCTGAGCACGAGCACCGAGGGCCAAGGGTATAGCCACTCACCCTGGACTGTGGCTCCTGCCCCCCAAGGGAGGACCCTGCTGCCTGTCTGCCCACAGCGCCCACAGCTCCCTCACCATTGTCACTGTTGTCATCCACCAGGATGACCTCCTTCAGCAGCTGGGAGGGTGTGTGGTTGACCACGCTGTGCACGGAGCGCAGGATGACGGACAGCGCCTCGTTGACGAAGATGAAGACCACGGAGACCTGGGGCAGGTCGCCTGAGTAGGTCAGCTGTCTGCACCTGTGGGGCAGGTGGTTGGTGTGGGCAAGGCATCCTGGGCTCTTCGCACCCTGCAGCCAGGGGACCAAGCATGACATCCCAGGGGCCACCCCTGAGCTGCGGCAGCTACTTCCTGCTGATGGTGTGGGTGACACCGAGCCCTTCTGCAGCCTGGGGACAGGGAGCCGAGGCCCCTCTACGCAGCCCTGCTGGGCCTGAGCCTCAGAGCCACTCAGGTCTTGAGCCAGACGGGCAGCGCTGACTGCAGAGTCACACGCCCAGTCAGGCCTGGCCCCCGGTGTGATGAGAGGGCTGCAGGGGGCCTCAGAGTCCGCCTGACCTGGAGTCAGGAGGGACAGCGGAGGGCACCAGGGCCAGTCTGAGGAGGTGATGACACTGACGGAGCAGTGAGCCAAATCACAGGGGTGCTGGGGATAGCAGCACCCAGCCCATGGTGGGAAGTAAAGATAGGATGAGAGGGGAACAGAAGCAGGGCTGCCAGGTGACACAAGATGGAAGGAGTGTCAGGGGCGCTGGCCGCACAGCAGAGCCAGTGACCCAGACTCCAAAAAGTGCAGAGGCTGTTGAGAAAGTTCAGCAGGTGTGTGCACACACACATGCATGTCATGTACACGCACACGCAGCACACATACACACATGCTTGTACATGCACATGCTCACGAGCATATCACACACACATACATGTACACACACACACACGAACACACCACACACATACATATACATGCACACCCACACACGATGCACACACACCACACGTGAACACACTTGCACCTGTCGCACACAGTGTGGACAAGGTGGCTTTGGATTTGAGAACTTAACACACGGGAAGAATGACCAGGGGAACGCCTCCTCCAGGAACTGGAGGCAGCACAGCGTGGGGACAGAGATGGGGACAGGGGCAGGGTATGTGTGTGCACCTGGCCCTGCAGCAGCTGGGAAACACTGTTGAGAGAATGGGGACTTGGTGACAGGAAGGGCAGCACAGCCTCCTGGTGGAGAGCAAAGGCTGGGACACAGGAGCCCGGGCACGGGAGGCCTCCCAAGGCTGCGGCTGCTCTGATGCCCACAGAGCACTGGGGACGGGATCGTGTGCACAGCACCGAGGCTTAGCAGCCCTCTCCAAGGCACGCGGGGCCTCTGCGTCCACCTCCTCACAGGACACTGGCCACGCTGGGCCTGGCCCCCACCCTAAGTGATCCACCCACAGCAGCCTCAGCCTAAGGAGAGCACGTCCCGTCCTGGTGGCCGGGACATGGCTCAGTGCAGAAAGCAGGAGCACTTGCTCCACACGTGGGGAGGGACGGCCAGGGGTCGCCCAGCCTGGCTAGCAGCACAGGGGCCACACCTGCTCTGCATGGACCAGGCTTCCAATCCTCCTGGCCACCAGAAAGGCCCAAGACACCTGCTCCAAGGACAAGGATGCTCCCCAGCCCCACCCAGCAGCCTCTCCTCCAAGTGCAAACCCTGCAGGTCACCAGGCAGTGATATGGGCCGTGGACCCCCACCAGGGAGGTCTCATCACTCAGAAAAATGCTTTCTGACAAGAAGACTCCACCCCACTTTTCAGTGAGGAAGAAGTTTGCTCGGTTCATGCACTCACAGCACAGGTAGAATGGTGCTGTGGCTCCTTAGGGCTTAGGCAGGAGCTGCTGCCTGCAGGAAAGGACCCTGCGAGCCCAGAGCCAACCCGGGGGGCTGCCGTGCACCCAGGGGCCACTGTGACAGGGGACACTGGGTGATGGGGGGCACCTGATGACTGGGGGACCTGGTGATGGGGGCACCGTATGATGGGGGCATCATGTGACAAGGGTTGGTCCCATGTGACAGGGCACCTGGTGATGAGGGTGCCTGGTGAAGGGGGTGCCTGGTGACGAGGGGGGCCTCTATGTGGCCACATCTCTGTGCCTCACCTGGCGTCTCGTCTTGGCTTCCTGACCCAAGCCATCGCCTCCTGCCTGGGTCCCTCATTTGTGTGACGGGCAGGATCTCTTCCCAGATCAGATGTGTGCAAGGATGATGGCCACCCAGCAGGCCCAGCACTCCCTGCCCCATGAGGCCTCTCTGTCATGATCAGCCCTGGGTCTTCGCTGAGGGTGGACACAGCTGATTGACTCTCACTCCCTGCCCTCCTGGGCTGGGAGCTACAGGGCCTCCTGGGCGTGGCCCTGGGCATGAAGAACTGCCAGCCAGTGAGGATGAGCCATGGAGAGTGTGATGTGGTGCCCTGGAGCCCTCTGACCTCACAGGCTGGGGGGCAGGGGACCCTGCTTCTCGCCTGCAGGGCACCCACCAGCCACCTTGCCACTGAGAGGCTCGCTCTGCCCAGGAAATTCCCAGAACATGGAGCACCTCTTCTTCAAGGTCTGAGCGGCCCTCACCCCACAACAGGCTGCCTTCCCTGCAGGAAGCCATCTTGCTGCAAGACTTCTCCCAGGTTACTCAGACAGAGGCCTCTGTGCTCCTGGCTACTGGGGAAGAGCAGGGTGACGGGACCTTCCAGATGAACTCTCCCAGCCTGCCCAGGAGGGCATGGGTATGGATGCCCACAGACTGGCAAAGGCAGGTCTGCCGGCTTGGGCAAAGGGGTTTGCTGCTTGTCCACAGAAGTCTGGACTGTGTTTGGTCTCAGCCTGGCGTGGCCCGCAGCCCAAAGGCTACCTGCAGGATGCAGCCACACATGGGGCACATTTTCAAGGTGCCCAGTCCTCCTGGCCACCTATCGGAGCAGTCTGCTGTCATGATGAAGACCAGAAAGAGGAGAGGCGTCTTCAGCAGCTTTCTTCTCCGAGTTGGTCACGAGGAGCCGTTCCCAGCCCTCGAAGTCACCCTCCACCAAACCTGCCCTTGCTAGGCTGATAGCGGAGCCCTGAGCCCCTCAGAGCGGAAACGATCAATATGCCCCGAGACTACGTTGGCCACCAGAGTGTCCCCGCTGGGCCGAGCACGGTCCTAGGGCAGCTTCTTCCTTTCTGGCACAGCTTAATTGGGATTCACGCTTCCTCTCAGATCCCGCAGGCCATCTGATAGCTGAGGCCACGTTATGTGCTTTGTGGCCTAATTAGAGCCGCGGTTTAATTAGAAAATCTCTCTAGCTGCAGACAAAGGGAAATCAAGTGGCATCCACTAGGAAAGGCGCAGCGGCTGCCACTGAGCGGGTGGCGCTGCGGTGGGGACTACGCGTGTGCGCAGGCACATGCGCCCTAGCCCCGGCCTGTGCTCCGTGGGCAGTTCTGACCAGCCGCTGAGGGAGCAAGGTCCTGAAATGAGATCTGAAGCTTCTGTAGGCAGGACTCAGTTTGTGCTGCTCCCCATGTCCCCTGCTGGGGCTTCTGCGCCAGGTGTAGCTACCAAGGCTACAGGTCAGAGCTGCTCCCACTCACCCCCACCTGGAGGTCCACGGCTTTCCTCTTGGGCCCAGCCTGGAGCTGGTGGCTCCACACCTGCTTCTGTGTATTCTGTCACGGTTTCTGAGGTCAGGACTTTGGGCTGAGTCGGGGGATGCCTGTGGTTGTCAGGAGCAGGTAGCACAGGGCGGCAGGGCTGGGCAGCTGGGATGGCCCACGACTCCCTGTCTGTCCCAGGGCCAGTTCATATGTGCTCTCCTGTGCACTGGTCCCACTTCCTCACTGGGCGGTGGCTTTAGAGCCCTTGGGTGGCTCCCACGGCCATTCTCTGGGGCCAAGCAGGGCAGAAGAAGCATGGCCTCTCCAGCTGACCCTGGGGGTCCTAGGCAACTTCCTGCCCGTTGCCTTCCCAGCTGTTTCCTCTGACCCCATGTCCACCCCGTCAGGGCTCCAGGGCGAGCACTTGAGGTCAGCAAAGAAGCACAGCAGTCCAGGGGCATGGCTCCAGGGGCACACTTTCTAACCCTCTGGCCCAAATTCACAGGCAGCATCTAACTCTCTGGGTGTGTGGCAGGAGGTGGGGCTCAGGGGGAGAGCACTTGCCTGGGACTCATGAGGCCCTGGGTTCGAGCCTCAGCACCACATAAAAATAAAAAAATAAAGGTATTATGTTAACTAAAACTAAAAACCAAACAAACTACTTAAAACAAAGCCTCCAGTAAAAGAACCAGGCACCAAAGATACCAGTTATTTGGGACTTAAAAATAGCCTGGTATACAGCGCACAGTGGCCATGCCTATGAGCCCTGGCAGGGCACCGGGCTCCACCCACCCTGCCAGCTGTGGGTTGCCACCCACGCACCTGCTGGATCAGCAGTGGGAGGAAAGCTGTCACCTGGTGCACTAGGCCTGCAGGGCAGCAGCCTGACTTTTCCAGAAACTGGTTTCTACTGAAGGTCTGCTGGCCTCTGCCCCCAGCTCCAGTTCCCAGGGGAGCATGTGACCAATAGGTGAGCTCTGGTCCAGGCTGCTGGCTGTGATTGGTTCCCGGATGGGCACATGACCCAACATGGGCCAATGAGACTCTGGCCTGAGACTTCTGCTGGGTTGTTCCTCCCTCCTGCCCAGCCTGAGCTGGAGGCCAAGAGGTTCCACTGCGCTAGAGCTTGCCTGGGCTGGGCCAGCTCTTCTGTGGGTGGCAGCTGAAGCTCCTACTCTTCCCATCCTGCTGGGAACCTTACAGATTGGCTGCCTGGGCTGCTTCTTGCAGGATCCCTTCCCATCTGGCTTCTGCTGGGTGGGGTCCACAGGAGAAGAAACTCAAGGTGAGGGGTGTCAGGGACTTCTCGTCCCTCCCCACCTTCCCATGTCTTGAAAGTGATGTCTTCTTCCCCACAGAGCTCCCAGCTCTCATCGGGCCCCAGTAATGCTATTTCTGTGCTGTCCCTTAATGCCTTGGACAGACCAGCTTCTCCAAATTGCTGATCCCTGGCTGGTTCATGTCCCTTATGGTTTTCCCATCAGAAACATGTGCACATTCACATGTACACACACATGTACACACACGTGCACACACATGCACACACAGACACATGTACACACAGGCCAGCTGACTCATGGCGGGTCCTGGGCCACCTCTGTGACTGCTGCCACATTGGGCACCTCTGCATTCCTTCTTATTGAGCTTTTAAAAACTGTCCTGTTTTAAACTCAAGTACAGTTTTTACTCAAAAGAAATTTGTATCTCATCCCTTCACGGAGGCCAGCCTTGTCTGTGCTGACCAGGGGTGACCATGAGGTCAACACACTGACACCCAGTCACACCATTGTCCTCAAATGGCTGCAGTAGCTACACCTCCACCTGGGCTCCACTCTCCCTTTCTGAGGGACTCCAGGGTGTGCATGGACCGTTCCCAGGTGGACCAGGACCAGGCACCTTCTCAGGCCTCACCCTCCACCCTGATGGCCTGCCCCCTCCCCACAAGCCCTGCATGAGAATCCTGGTCTCCAGGTCCAGGTGGAGGGAGTTCCTCAAAAAGGCAGGAAACGGACCCCTCCTCCTCATCTGCCTGTCCTTTGGCATTGCTCCAGGGGACAGGAAGGTCACCAAGCCTCTACCTGCCACTGAGTCCTGGTACCCAGGGCAGAGGGTTCCATCCTGCTAGGCTCTGCAGATGGGAGGAACGGCCTACCTGCCAGTGGCCTCCAGGCCTGGCTGGCATCCCCTTCCCAGGCACCCCAGCTTGGCCCCTCCAGGCAGCCTGTGTGGCTTTGCCACAGCTGTAAGGATTGAGGGCTGGTAGGACTCTGTCCTCAGGGATTTTCTGAGGCTGCTGTGGCTTCAGGGTGGTGGGACAAGGGGTCATCGCCCACTGAGGGCAGGCAGTGTCTCAGACAGGACACATGGGCTCACACCAGCGTGGCAGTGGCTGTGGCGAAGCCCCCAGAAGCCAGCGGGAGGAGCAGGCCAGGTGGGGCCAGGCAGGGGCCACAGACTGACCACAGGACCTCAGCCAGCACGGCGACCTCTCCACCCCGACTTCCATTCTGAGGGAGGGGTGTGGCCTGTGGCCGGGCAGGAAGAGGGTGGCCATGGCCAGAGAACTCCAGAGACAGAGGGAGACAGAGATCAAGAGAAAAGAGACAGAGAAGAACTGGAGGGAGAGACAGAGTGACAAGAAGGAGGAGGAGGCGAGGGTGGGGTGGCAGCAGGTGGCCCTGCAGGCCCCTCCCCCATGATGGCTCCTCAGCAGGGCAGCACATGGCCAGCTGGCTGGCCCTTGGCACTCACTTTTTGGGCCTGTAGTCGGGGATGGTCCTGTCCAGGGAGATGCGGTCGCTGAGCTGGGCATTGTAGCCATACTCCTCGTACTTGCCTTCCCTCTCCTGGCTGTCCTCCTGCAGAGTGGCCGCCACACCTCCCTGACCCAGGCCACCCGGCCCCTCTACCAGGCCGATGGGTTTTGCAAGACCTGGAGGGGCACAAGGGAGGGTGGGTCAGGCAGAGTCCAAGGTGCCCCACAGACACCCACCTCCCCTCAGTCCCTCTCCATTCCCGATTCCAACGCCACCCCTTAGAAAAGACCGGACTGTGGTCAGGAAGAACAGGCCCACAGGAGCTAGGTGGGACAAGCAGGGGGCACCAGGTGTCAAGGGCAGCACCTCTGTGACACTGCAGGTGGCTGCAGGTCACCACCCACTGCGCTGAGCCTGCTGTAGTCAATTATCCTGCTCAGGTTGTTAAGCATGTATCAATATTGGCTTATCACATTAACATCAGAATCAATAATGGCACGGGGCACAGAGTCTGTGGACCTCTCAGAGGTACGTCAGACCAGCAACCATGTGTCAGTACCTCAGACCAATAACCAGTACTTCAGAGCAGCAATCATGCATCAGTACTTCACACGAGATCGGGTGCGTTCAGGGTGATATGGCCGTAGACTTGCATCAGTACTTTAGAGCAGCAACCATGTGTCAATAAGCTCAGACTATCAAGAGTATCAGTATGCTCAGATTAGCAACCATGTATCAATATGCTCACACTGGAACCATGCATTAATATGCTCAGACTAGAAACTATGTATCAATATGCTCAGACTAGCAACTATGTATTAATATGATCTGCCCAGCAATCATGTATCAATATGCTCAGACTAGCAACCATGTGTCAATACCTCAGACCAGGTATCAATATGCTCACACTGGAACCATTCATCAATATGCTCAGACTAGCAACCATGTATCAATATGCTCAGACCAGCAACCATGTATCAGTTCACTCAGACTAGCAACCATGTGTCAATACCTCAGACCAGCAACCATGTATCAATATGCTCAGACCAGCAACCATGTATCAATACCTTAGACTAGCAACCGTATATCAACGCTCAGGTCAGCAATGCTCAGTGTGGATATCAGATATTGGCTCAGGTTGTTAAGCATGTATCAATATTGGCTTATCACATTAACATCAGAATCAATAATGGCATGGGGCACAGAGTCTGTGGACCTCTCTGTACTCTGAGCTTATTTGGTCTATAAACCTGCAACTGTCTGAAAAGCAAAGACTAGTGTATTGATGTTAAAAAAAAAAATTAACAATTACAAAGAACTGAGGTAATTGAACTTTCAAAAGCAAAGCAGCTGTTCTCCCAGCCCTGGACAGCATCAGTTCTACCATGCAAACTATTGCAAACCCATGCCTGTCAAGGGAGGCGACTGCTAAGGATGACAGAGACATGTCATCGGGGAGAGAAGCCAGAAGCAGTGGACACTGACCACCAAAAATCAGGAGCACAGGAGCTGCTCTGCAGGTCCCTCAGGGACCAGGCTGACTAGGAATGATCAGGGACTCCCTGGTGACAGACTGGACATCATGGGTGAGAGGGGGCAGGGTGCCTGGGAACACCAGGTTGAAGAAAGATCTAGTCAGTCATTGGAGCCAGGAGGGGGGTCTCAGCTCAGAGCATGGCTCCTAAAGGGACCAGGGCAGTGTCCATAGGCAAGGGCAGCCCTTGCTCTTCCTTTTGGGAGATCTGGACAGCTACTTGGAGTGGATGGTAGGGGGTGGAATGTAAGCCAGAAAAAAAGGCAGAGGGACCTGTCCCTGAGCTGCCACCTGTCAGCTCCTGGAGAGGCCTCTGGTCTTCATCAGGCTGTGGACACGCAAATGCCCACCCTTCATCCTCCAGACCAGGCAGAATGTAGGGTCCAGCCCTGGGGAGGGACTGAAGGCACAGGAGCCTGGACCCTGCTTGTCCAGGGGGCTTCTCTGCTTAGACAGCTAGGGTGTCCCATCTTGTGCATCTCCGTGTTTCCAGGACATTCCACTTCAAATGGGGAAGCAGGGTGGAGGCTTACATAGGGGGGACACACACCGGGTGGGGACTGAAAGGTCAGGGTGCAGAGCTACTCCGTCTCTTACGTTCACTTAGCATTGCTACGTGATGGCCACGCTGTTAGAAAGTCTGTTCTCCACCTTGAAAAGTCTGCAAATGGGGCTCCCAGGGCACGGGTGTCACCACAGAGCCAGTCTCCCTGCCTGGCCAGAGGGGCCCGTCCAGCCTGGGGCTTCCTTTCCATTAAATGTGAAACATGCTGTGTTGAGATCCAGACATCCTGGAGGAACCCGCAGGGTGCCCCTCTGCCAGCCTCGCAGCCCGAGGACTTGGTTCCCCGGCTCTGGTGCTGCCCTCTTGCTCTGGGCACTGCACACAGGAAGCTCTGGGTCCAGCTCTCGCTAGCAGACAATTCCCTGGGCTCCTGGACATGAGAAATGAGCCCCGTCCACTGCCACCTCCGCCTGCGCTGCCGCGTCCCAGCTTCCCTCAGCTGCTGTTATTTTTAGTTATGTGATGGTTGCCTTTGACTGTAGGAGGAATGCGGAGGCTCTGCTCTGGAGGCACCAACCTCTGCCCATTTCCCTGCCAGTGTGGACGTCCCCACCCGCCTGGCCTGCTGGCCACCAGTGCCTCATCCTCCAAGGTCATGGGTAGCTGCAACTGCAACTACCACACCCAAGCTCCACAGGACTTGTCCACAGGTGGATGCTCAGATGAGAGGAGCCCAGCCTGGAGGGACCCCGAGGGGGATCGCAGCTCTGAACAGGTGAAGGGTGTCCAAGGTCAAAGCAGCAGTGACCACTCTTCAGATGCTCCACCATTCCCCAGAACCATGCCCTGTTTGGTCAGGTGGCTCCCCACTGCTGGCTCGCTCCTAACCTGGGCATGGGACAGTGGCGGCGGTGACTTCTGTACAGAGTGCACCCTCTGCACAGCCCCCTCCTTCACTCTCCACAGCACCCGACGGCAGGTAAGGAAACCCTGGCACAGAGAGGTCAAGCAACACACTCAACGTCACACAGTCTATGAGTGGCAGACCTGGCTCACACCCTGCTGGGCAGCCATCCAACCAAGGCTGCTGGGAGACCAGGCAGGAGGGAGCCAGAGTTCGGGGGCTGTGCTCATGGTGGAGGCCTCTGTGAGTCAGACCTGCCTCAGCAAGTCCAGCAAGGACAGAACCACTGTCCCAGCTGCAAATCACTGTGCTCAGCCCCTTGAAAGATCCCTTGAAACTTCCTGCTGGTTTTCACTTCCAACTCCACCTGACCGACCCTGGGTCCTGTGCACTGGTCATTCCACCCTCTCCCTCCCACCTCAGGTCCCACCCTATCAGTCCCAGCACCCCAGACCCGGCCTGGGCCATCTCACCCTCACCATACACTACCACTCACACTGTGCTGGGATCCGAGGACAGAGCCAGCAAGGACTGTCCCTCCTAGTGGGCAGCCCGTTGTGGCCTCTCCCCAGACCCGGCTGCCTTGCAGGTGGGTATCTTCCTAAGGCTGGTGGAGACGTGGACTCTCACAGCACCACAGCTGAGCTGTTCTCTGCACTGGCCACCCTGGCGAGTCTGACAGCCACTCAGCCCATGCCCAAGGCCCCTGTACCCCTAGGGTCACCTTCTAGGAGGAAGCTCTTGCTGCCCCACTGGACAGATGAGAAACTGAGGTCCCCGCCCAGTGCCACAGCAGATGGCCAGTGCAGCTGCCCTCGACAGCAGGCATCTCAGAGGTCACCAGAGCCCATCCTGAAGGCCGAGGCGGTAACTTAATAGCTGCTCCTGTGGTCACTGCCGGGTTGGGCAGGTAGGGCCCAGTATGAGAGGAGATGCCCCATGGAGGACAGTGTTGGAGGACCACTCTGGCCGTCAGATGCCTCATCCTGCCATAGATGGGAGCCATCCTGAGCATGCACTGTGTGGTTCGTGGGATTGACCTTTCTGGCACTGGCCACATGACTCATGTACCAGCTGGACACATCTCCAGGCAGGGAAAGGGGCTCCCGGCCTGGGCAGCCACCACAGCCCTGTCCTCCCAGTCAGGTGGGAGGCAGGGACAGTCGAAGTGCCAAAGCCAGTCAGTGCCAGGACCCACTGGCCAGCACTGGGATCCATAGGTCAACACTGGGACCAATTGGTCAGCACCAAGACCCATTGGCCAGCACCTACTTCTCATTGCTGGGATATACTGATCAGTGCTAGGACATACTGGTCAGCACTGGGGCCTACTGGTCAGCACCAGGACCTACTGGCCAGCACCTACTGCTCATTGCTGGGACTCACTGGTCAGCACTGGGGCCCACTGGTCATTTCTGGGACTCACTGGTCAGCACTGGGGCCCACTGGTCATTGCTGGGACTCACTGGTAAGCAATGGGACTCACTGGTCAGCACTGGGGCCCACTGGTCATTGCTGGGACTCACTGGTCAGCAATGGGACTCACTGGTCAGCACTGGAGCCCACTGGTCAGCACCAGGACCCCCTGGGAGCCTTACTGGTGTGTCCAGACAGAGTCCGAGCCCTGGTGAGAGCGCAGCCCTGCTCCTCCCTGGAGACCCTCATGTCTCTCAGAGGAGCCATCGCCCCCTGGCACCAAGGACCCCCCTGCAGCCCTGGTGACCCCTTCCCGGGGTGTGAGTGGCAGATGCCCGTGTTTGCTGGCCCTGTTCACTGCGGTGCCTCAGAGGGAGCCAGGGCATTGTGCGCTGTGTGGGGCTCAGCATGGAGAAGACAGTTTTCCCTTTTGCCGGCTCCTTGATCTGTCCCCAGAATGTCCCCATGTTACCTCGTCCAAGGCTCAAGTGCATTCCACGTGATGACCTCTGACCCCCCGCATGGCGCCCATGCTCCTGTCCCTGTGAACTGACGGGGCCCGGCTCAGGCCACGTGCCCCAGTCAGAGCCGCTGGGTGGGAGCTTCTGGGGACCTGGGGCCTCCTTACTCAGGAGCCTGGGGGCTTCTTTTTGTGCCAGCAACATGTGCTATGGCTGTCACACAAGGTCTAGTTCTGAAGGAAAGTCACAAATGCCTGCAAAGTTGTGTTGACATACACAATCACCTGGGGTCTGGCTGTGGAGGACAGCCAGGGCAGCGTCACCCGGGGCCTCTGTGTGGGGGCAGCCCAGGCAGT